GAACAACTAATTTGTCCCGTTACTTTTCATTTTACGAATTTGCTTAATTGCCATCCCGATTTAAGTCCACCAATACCTACTGTTTATGTTTTCACGTGTACAATGTCTATCTGTGTATAGCAGTTCTTGATCTCTGCGAGTACTCATCCCAACAATTTTGCACTGGCATAGGGTTTTATTAAAAAAAATTTTAATTGAGATTATCCGGTGAGAAAGGAAATTAAAAAGGCTGACCACTATTTTTTTTTACTCGTCTCTGCTAGTTAAACGGTCCCACAAAAAGAACTAATAACAACTTGTGAACCCGGTTGTTTGACCCCTAATTGCATACATACGGAATGCAAGTATTTGAACTTGGTTCGAAAGGTTGGTTACGAGACGCCTTTCCTAAAGATGTCTCTTCATATTCCCTCTCTCTCTTTATCTATCACATTTCCTCTTTCTCTCCCCCCCCCCTCTCTCTCTCTGTTTGCCTCTCTGTATGCCCCTTCAGTAGTCCTAATTTACTGTCTTCCGAAATCTGAAGAATTAGAATCGACATAAGTATTGTAACAGATGTGATATCATTATGTTGAATATTAGTAAAATATTTTTCGATAATCAATATATGGAGTAAGAAAAACACTTTTCCCTTTATTCACTCACGTGGTTCACAATTAGGTGTTAATTTGCGTAGGTTTAAAAAATACAAAATAAATGAATTAGATAGATAGATAGATAGATAGATAGATAGAGAGAGAGAGAGAGAGAGAGACAGACAGACAGACAGACAGAGAGACAGAGAGACAGAGGAAAGGAAGGAAGGAAGGAAGGAAGGAAGGAAGGAAGGAAGGAAGGAAATGGAGATATATACAAGGGGTTGATGAAAAGTTATCAGCCCGACCACAATAAGGAATTTAAAAAAAATTTCTTTGATATTTGGTAAGATTTTGGGAACTAGATCAGACCAATAAATTTTCAGCACCTCATCGTAAAATAAAATAAAATTAAAATAAAATTAGACAGTATAGGTTAAAACGTGATAGATAAATAAATAAATAAATAAAATATAATAAATTAAATCATACTGAAGAAAATTAACAAAGCTTTTGTGTTAAAATATTTATTACCTCGACTACAAATACTTTTCGGCGTTATAACTGTTCTATTTCTAACTGTTCAGCGCTGATTTTAAATTTTCTGTTTAAACTCAACAAAATAAGAAGAAATGGGAAAAGTTCGTTAGAAACAAAGAAAAGAGTGCTGAATATCAATGGCAGTGAATGTAGTTTTACAGAGATGTGGTTCTAAAGAAATACCATGGACAGAACATGTGAACAACAAGGAAGTTTTAAGGAAAAGCGGAACCAAAGGACTCTTGTGATGAGAATCATTGTTGTCTTTCCAATGAGGATGTGTTAACCACCATCACTAACGTAGAAAAAGATTTGAAAATGTGTTTGTAAATGTGGATGGGCGTATTCGCCACACGGGAAGACGTGGGTGGGGACAAGAAAATAAATTTTTATATTCATATTTAATAAAAATTCAATTCATATCTGCGTGTGTATATGAGCATGCTTGCCATCCAAGTGTCAGTCAGGAGAGAAAATGAGCAGCGATATGTCTGACATAAAGACTTTCTTCATTAGCAGAAAAATTAGAAAGTGTGTAGAACATTTCCGTGCGTGAAGAGCGTCTTCCATAGAGCAACACAATTATTTAGTAGTGAGTTCGATCCTCACTGGAGGTTCCATATTTATGGATTTGTATTAGAGTAAGTTATGGTTAGTAAATAATATAGTAGCTTCACCATGTAGCAAATGCTTATCAAGTTAACCTCGTAGACGATGAAGTCGCTTCATATTTGTTGGCCTTGTACTGTATTAAGTTAAGCAATTTTGTAAGTGTTAGCGATTCGGCAAGAGAAATCAATGAAAAGCCAAGTTCGAATTCCAGTTGAGTTCATTACGCTCATTTCCACCCAAATACCGTTAGGAAAGATATAAATCCATCTCATCTCACCTCCTCTTAGAAATGGTTTAAACGACAACTGAGCTCTTTTGTATTGAGTTGACAAACAGTGTAAGAGAAGGAAAACTGAATTCAAAACTAGTTTGATGATCTCTGTCCAACTATTTGGTTCTAGATACACGACTGATGCTATGGCTGCACTACATTTGGTGTTCCAACGAGCCTAATGAGTTATGGCACTCGTGAAGTGGTACAGGACATACCAAATATCACTAATTTAGCACATGAAGATATTCATTAAGAAAATAAATCTTTAAAAATGGTATCTGCATTTATACAACCATGGTATTTGTATCTTTGTTATTATTGCAGATGTTTTTCCATTTATTTCGACAATTTATTTTCGTCTATTTTATTTCTTTAATACTTATTTTTTATTATTTACGCTCGCTCATCTTTTTTAACACATCATTTTATGGCGGCAATCAAAGCAATTGAAAATATATTTTAAAATAAAACGTTGAACTTCTTACAATTTTACCTAATTTTATTATTTAAAAAAGTTTTGTTACTTTCTTTATTGGTCGAAAAGTCGATCTTTTTCTTCTATATACCAGGACCCTGTAGGACATGTCTCTCCAAAACTTCCCATCTTAGCAGTTTTTCTGATACATTTGAAAAAGTTATATTCTCTGTCTCGACCCGTTGTTATTAGCGTGATTCTGTGTAAACAGCTAAATTATATTCATCACATGTCTACGGCAATGGTATATGAATGTATAGCTATTCATTCCCAGGTCAGAACATTAGTAGGTGGAGGAAGGTGGACCAGTTAGTATGGGCCCATGATTTGGAGTAGGGTGGCATATTTCCACTTCTTGTTAGAAACAAATGAGAAAGCACGTTCGAAAGAATATTAGCATTGAAATAGTCAGGATGAATCCTTCAGCTCTCTCTCTCTCTCTCTCTCTCTCTATATATATATATATATATATATATAAAGCATATTTTTCAAAGTATGCTATACATATAGAAGAAAAGTAATTACTATTAGTGACAGTGCGTATGTAAATATAAGTAAACTTCAGGCCATGACATGACATGGCCTGGGGATTGCATTTAAGCACCATTCAGTGTTCATAACTATGTCCACACTGCTTATATATATATATATATATATATATATATATATATATATATATATATATATATATATATAACAAAAGATTGTGTTTCGAGAGAAAAAGTTCATTAGCAGAATATTTCTGGAAGATAGTGTTGTTAAGGCAAGCAGTCATTGTAATTATAATCAATATCAAGAGATAGAGCATTAATAATAGTAATAAATAAAATTAAATGTTCACTTATCTTGTCCTCATTCAGAATTTCGTGGAGATTACATCCAATCTTCAGGAGATTTGATTGCAAAATTAAATTAATTTTCAGAAATCATATTTTTAAATATATATAATTTAAAAAAAAAATTGAATTACTATCTAACTTCCGATTATAGTTAAAAAAAACACACAAACTAACTAATGAACATAACGCAACAAGTTTAAATAAGTTCTGAAGATAGTCACCATACAGTGTTGATTCATCTCTCCACACTATCTATATCTATAAGCTCTGTCTCTGATATCGAGTTCATTTCCCTTATAAATACAGCATATATGAAATATATATATATATATATATATATATATATATATATATATTAATCAATTCACCCCAGACAAGGCGATAATACCATTAAGACACAGGAAAGAGGATAAAAAGACTTTGGAAGGAACTGGAAACCCAATCATGAATAATAGGAAACAAGAGATATTCTTGTTCAAAAAACTGGAAAGGAGTATGAACCGGACGATAGGCGAACCTATATATATACATTACATGTGTGCGTACATGAAGATGCATGTGAGTTCCATGAATTGGGTCTATCATAGATAAATCGTGTGTGTGTGTGTGTGTGTGTGTGTGTGATAGAGAGAGAAATGGTCATTCTTGTTTATTGGAATACAAATATTTTCTAGGAAAAATTTTCAGCATCAAATAGACTGCACCATTTCATTTTTTATATACTCTTCTTAGTCTTAGACTTGTGGACCCTTAATACAATTTTCATTTTTTTGCTATTCTCTGATAATCTACTTTTGTTTCTTTCTTGATTCTAAAAACATTTACTTGACAAAGGAGCCACTAACTACAAACATTAACAATACAACATTAACAATAACACTGAATTACGACGTCTAACGCGCCCGTCTAATTGTTTTGTTCTGTCAAAATCTTTTCCTTCATATGAAAGAAAAACAGAAAAAAAAACAGAAGTTGGTTGATATGTGTGTTCCATGTGAAGTAAACCTTCTGACGTCATTACAAAGTGCCTGTGGTGAGGGAGTAGCTTAGTAATTGGGTGTCATATAACCTTATATGGAACAGCTTGTAGGCGTGTCCACAGTTACTATAATCGAATATTAAACTTTGTCAGGTGACACGCAATATTAATTCAATCTTCTCCGAAAACCCGCCTGCTGATAACGTCAGGCTAATAGAAAGTAAAAAAAAAAACTGTGACGTATGTTATCGCTATAGAATCACGTATATAAACCAAACCGGTAACGAGCCAAGCGCCTACTTAAAGTTCATGTTTACTACTGCATCTACAACATTACAGTAAGTGTTGTTCTCTTAGACACATGTTGCTATAAGTCTACTGAAGAAGTAAAATAACAGTGACCGTATCTTTTGGACTGTAAGAAACAACTTAGTACACAAACAAAAAACATTTCTGATTATTTTACTTTTCTTTTTCTGGAAACAGAACCAGAGAAGAAAACTATATCATTTTTTATTCGACTTTTGAAATCGGACTAAAAAAAGAACAGCTTATTTTAAATACAAAACTTTGAATTTTAACAACGTTCCTTAATCTTTTCTTGGACTTCTGCGTATTTAAAAGAAATTCTATGTTGTCTGTGATCTTTGATTCAACCAGCAATTATACCAACAACCAAACTTCCACATCAAAAAAAAGGACCAAAATGCTAGACAACGACGTTACCGTTTTCCAAACGAATTATTTACGCGTCCGAAGGAACGCCCTGGGAAATATTCTCGAGGGTCTTGATCAACGTGCTCTGGCCTGGTTGGCAGAATGTGTTTCCAACATCGACGGCGGCCACTCTGAACAACCAGAAATATCGGAGAACGAAGACCAAGAAGCACCCACCGATGAAGAAGGCGGTCCGTACACCTCCTTGAACGTCGACATTGAAAGGAACAAAAGAGGTACAAAGGAAATAGATGCTGAAAAATCGTCCCAACTGGAATTAGATTCCAAAGAAGAAATCTTTATTCGTGCGACGGAATTAGCGTCACCATTTATTAAAAGTTGCTTCCAACTCCCATCATTCACTACGACACGACGCAATGCCCTGCACGATTTGTTGGAGACGCTCACCCCGGCCGAACTGGCTAAGCTCAAACAGCTCTATTTATTACAACTAACCATAGAATCAGAGGATGACCATCCAACCACACTGATGGCTGGGAGACCTCGTCAACTGGGCAGTATAATTCCCCATTTTGGCAAATTTGCAACACATGTTTGAACCTCTCCTCCGACAACAACAACAACAAAAAAATACATCAAAAAACGAAGAAACAAAAGAAAAAAAGCGACTAAGCTGCTCGTATTTAATTCGAATCAAACGAAAGAATTCGAGGTAAGCGGCCCTAATGTTTTTAGTACATAAAAGCTGACATGTGTGAGTGCATGTATGAGTTTAGTTGCCTCTGCACTTCTTTCATACACATACACAACCGAACAGACGCCTTTGAACCCATACAGCTGAAAAGATAACGAAACCAAAACAAAAGGGAGACGACCGTTTTCAAGGATTTTCAGCGGAATATTCCCCAGAACGAGCGTGGCAAAAAGAAAGCCAGAGCGTGCGACGCTTTTAAGCGTCATAAAGAGAAACGCCATTAATTGAGATAAAATTTCCCCCATTTTTTTAAAAACTGATATAACAAACACAATCTTTTTTTTAAAAAAAAGGTGAAAAAATCTTCATATAAATGGCCAGTAAGAAGATTGATTACAAAATATTAAAAGTTTTTTCTTAACATCTCAAAAATATGTATTCAAAAATATGGAGTGAACATTTTTTTCTTTCAGTACCATTCGGAAAAAAAAATGATTTACACATTTAAACCAATGCATAATTAAAAAAAAAATCTGTGATAAAAAAAAAGAAAAGAAAAGAATAAAGCAATATATGAACTCATAAAGAATGTTGGATTTCTAAAAACTCCGAAAATGAACATGAAACATCTTAAAAGTAAAATAAATGTAAATGGCGCACACCTTTATGGACAGGTGCCGAAATAAACTAATAACTTACAAAGTAAAAAAAAAAAAAAAAAAATAGAAGAAACATTCTATTCCAACGAATAGTCCATAAATATCTCGGATGAAACAATTACTCCTAAAGTATTTACTTTTGCTTTCCAGAGAAAATAAGACAGTTGCTGACATTTATTTGAATGTTCACACGTGCAGAGACATTTAAATTATTATTATTATTATTAATTCATTTATTTATTTGAGTTTCCACACCAAAAGTTAACTGGCGGTGACTTTCCGAGGGAAACAACCAAAAGCGGGCCACACTTTCCTAATTCATTCATTGACTTTTGATTCGGAACTATTTCTGATTTCTGTTTTCATTTCAGTCCAAGAAATTAAGGAAACTTTTATTGATTGGTTCAAATATGTTGATAGAAATGCTGATAAAAGTAACTTAAAATAAAAAGGTTTTATGTTAAAAACCTTGAGTATTCTCTGAAACGAAAGTCGATGTCAATGAAAGGAATTATGAAACTGATTCTGGTTTTTGTTACTGTTTGAATTATTGTATTGTCTTTATGTTTTATTGCATTTGTTTTTGCCATCTTTTAAATGACATAGCTTTGAACAAAATTACATTTACTTAGCACTTATTTTTATTTTATTTTTGTCGTTCAGTACATTTTACATGAACATGTATTACAGTAAACAGTTCCAAGTGTGAAGGAGTTAAAAGATAAACCGAGTAAACTTTTCTTTGCTAACGACTACCACATTGCCATAGATTCCATTTTTTTAATCGGAAGAAAAGAACGATGATGCGCTCAGAACTTTTGCGTAAAAGATCTGAACAAAATGTTATGAAAACTCGCTGATTATTAGGAAAAAAGGAAATTTAAATTAGTAAATAGAAGTGAGTGAGATGATATCCTTCATTCGTCCATCGGTGGAAAATATTCATGAGACAATTTCATAAAAATTCTCCATTACACAATATTCACACACACACACACACACACACGCGCGCGCACACACACACACACACACACACACACACACACACACACACACACACAGTCGACTATTAAATTTACCTATCTGTCTATGACTACATAAATTGATAAAATTCAGAGATAAACAGATAATGTTATTTCTTAAGCATTGTCTATCATGGAAAAGGAGTTTTTTTTTTTTTTTACTTTGGTTGAAAATTAGTTTTCCTTTTTCCAGATATCCTAACTGAATCTCACCAACTTGGCGCAAATGTTGTAGCCGTCAGTTCAACACTACTAAGCTCCGAACTCGTCAACAAAATTTTAACTCTTAAAGTCGAAAAATCGTTGAAATATCCAAATTGCGGGGAAATTATGACTTGTTTCATTTGTATTAATCTGCCAAAATTTTCTTTGTGATACTCTGTTAACCTTTTCAGACAATATCCGACCATCCCTTAATAAAATATAACTAGTTTATTATACACGATTGTGATTGTCCCACACGTGTGAATTTCCTCTGCCAGAAGCCAGTAATGAAAATTAAAGTCGCAATTAAACAATAATTATATTGAGAAAAAAAATGAATGAAGATGGATGTGATAGTCTGAATAAGTTAACAAGAATAATAATCATTTTCTATTCCATTAATTTTTAAAAAATTGAAGAACGACAATGATATTAACTATGTGTTATTATCAGCCAAATTGACTTTTCTTTTAAATTTTACTAACATCCTCCCATAAGCTTTTCTTTTTAAAGGTAACCTTATAACAGGTTTTAACCATACATTACGTTCTAAGTCAGTTCCACAGCAAAAAGTAAAAAAAGACTATTATCCTATCAGCTTTTGTTTAATACTTAAGTCCGCTATTCACGTTTAGTTTAAAATCAGCAAAGGCCTTCTTAGACGCAGTGAATTGTGTTAAATTCAAATTCATTGATTAACATCTATGGCTGCAAATAAATGGCAAATTTAATTTGGTCCTTATGCTATAGCTAGACTATATGTATGATATGATCAATAAACATGTCACTGAAGAAACGTTGACAGAAAATATTCCGTTTTTTTTTATTAATATACGCCTGTCTTATATATATATATATATATATATATATATATATATATATATATATATATATATATATATATGAAGGAAGAAGTGCTCAGTATATCAATATCTGAAATAGGGCGTTTGTAGATATAGACGGTGTGGACCTAGGAATCAATATTGCATTGTAACTGTCAGTTTCACACTTCAAGCGACTTATAAAGTTGAATATCGTTTGAGGCATAAAATCTGAGTCACCATTCCATGTAACTTTCTAATGCCTACACTATCTGTAGATGATGTTGTTAGATAAATATATAGATAGATATAAACACTGTCGACATAAAAATTAGTACTGCATATCACTGGCAGTTTCAATTATTGACCGCTATTCAGACTAAACACATACTCATATAAACGTAGAGTATACACACATGTATTATAACCGTGTATACATAATTCGAAATAAAAAACATTTATAGAAATAAATTAATTAATTTCATACAAATTCAAATATGTTGTGGATTACAAATTCATTTTTCTTTTCTTTTTCCTAAAACATCTAAAATCAATTGTTAATGATAATTTAAGTCCAACAATTTCAAATAAATGCTTTCGTAAAGTTCTTATTTTACCTACATCATTTTTTATCTTGGTTTTTATATTTCTGTGATTAGAACGGGCAAATGCTTTAGCTGCAGGTAACCCTCAAATGAATTATCTTCTGATTGGATATCTTTAAAACGAGGGCTATCATTTAAAAGGCAAATTGTTATTCTGAAAAAGCATTTGTTTTATTTGGTATACAAATTAACTTATCTATCAGCTAATTCTATAGCTTTATTTCAAAACAAAAAAGCTTTAATATATATAACTTAATTCACCTTAACAAAGGTGACACAACGAGCACAAAACCTACACAAGTTTGTGTTAATGTGAGAGTGTATAGACTCTACATATATACATATGGATACATTTGTGTTTTATGATACATTAAGTGTTTTATGTCAAATTGGCTGTGCCTGATTGTACAAAACGCAGGTCGTTTGTATTTTATATGTTTTGGATTTAAAAAAAATTATGAAATAAAGATTAAATAAATTGAATTGAACGATTTTGTCTGTTTTTATTCTTTGTTCTTTTTTTTTCATTTTTATTGAAACATCGTTAAAACTTACAAGTTCGTATTACCTATCTATCCAAGAGCTGGTGGAGCATTTCCAACACAAGACTTAATAAATTCACCCCAAGCAAGGCGATAATGTCATTAAGACGCAAATGAGTGCTAGGAGTGAAAGAGAATGAAAAGATTTTAGAAGGAATCAGAAGCCCAATCCTAAACAGGAAACAGGGAATGTGTCTACATACACACACACACACACACACACACACACACACACACACACACACACACACATATATATATATATATATATATATATATATATCCTGAAAAATTACTTTCAGTTGAGCTCTCTGGGGAGGAGGTGTGGGTTGGCAAACATTGACTATTATAGCTATATAGCGAGACTCTTCGAATTGAGTCACTGTCGGGCACTGGGCGTGTTTCTAAAAATAAATATGCTAAAATCCACCTTCATCCCTAGCTCAATGGTTAGAATCTCCGACTGACACCAATTCAGTCGGGTTTCGATCCTAGTTAAAGACAACCGGATGTCTAGCCACACTGATGAGCTGCGAAACAGTCTGTCTGTGGATGACGTTATATATGTATATTAGCAACAAAAGACAGGAAGCTTTTGAGTGGTATGATCGCCAGTATCTTGAAGGAACTTGGTAAATACACACATATATATGTGTGTGTGTGTTGGCGATTACTGCTCTCCAAATTTCCTATTTTTCTGTTGATAACAACTTTACAACTAGTACTAATTTAATGCCTAATATTTCTGGTTTACTCTTCGAGATATATATATATATATATATATATATATATATATATATATATATATATATATATATACTGTGTAAAAATATAAAATTCAGATAAATGAAAACTGAATTTATCAAAACCTTTACTACGCATGCCAACATGTAGTTCAGAATTTGATCAAATTTGAGTTATTAATTTTTTTAAAGTTCAATGCTTTATTATGTCTTGCAATAAGAAAATTATAATTCTTCAGTGGCTACATGTTTGATGGCAACCGACTCGAATAAGTTACCATTTGTAGACACCAAGTAACTTGAATCCA